AAACTGGTGAATAGAAAAACAAATTGAGGAATCTCAGGAGAAAACATTATGTAGCCATTAAATCAGAGGCTTCTGGAGTTCTGGGATGAAGTTAAATGTAGAACACATAAGTGCATACCAGGGTCAGGTGTAAGCTACATGTATAGGATAGAGTTTTCCCTGGACAGTGATGGGGAACTGTCGTAATTATCACACAGGCATGTTTTTAATTTTTCTGCAGTAAATTATGCTAATCTTTCAATTTGAATATGGAAAAACGAGTACCTTTTCTTTTTGTTATTTGTTTATTTTAAGCTTATTTATAATAAACTCTCTCTCTCTCTCTCTCTCTCTCTCTCTCTCTCTCTCTCTCTCTCTCTCTCTCTGTGTGTGTGTGTGTGTGTGTGTGTATGCAGCCACTGCAATAAGCTCCTGCTGCCATGACATGTAGCTCCGTGTGTGTACACATGTGCCTGTGGTATGTGTGCTTGCTTGTGTAGGTGTGTGTTTGTCTATATAGAGACTGGAATCAGCATCAGGTGTCCTCCATCACATGCCACCTTATGTGGAGACTGGGTATCTCACTGATCCTGAGCTTGACCACTGAGCTAAGATGGCTGTTGAGCAAGTTCTAGTGACCTGCCTATTCTGCCTCTCCAGAGCTGGGGTTACAGACTTGCACCAACAAATCCAACTTTTTTTTTCAATTATTAATGTGTGTATGATCCATGTATGTAAATGCATGCATACAAGCCATGGTGCACACATGGATCAATTATTATTGGGTTGCACACATGCCATGCTGCACATATGGATCAGTTATTATTGTGTATACAATCTGTGTATGTGAGGACAACTTTCTAGAGTTGGTTTTGTGTATGTAAATGCATGCACACATGCCATGGTGCACACATGAAAGACAGAGGACAACTTTTCTGAGTTGGTTCTGTCCTTGCACTTTGTGTTTGGAGCAAGCTTTCTCTTATTTCTGCCACATGAAGCACTTCAGGCTAGCTGACTAGTTGAGTTTCTCTTCTCTTCTCCTGTGTCTGCCTCCTACCTCCCTGTATGACTGTGGGTTTACAGATGGGCACCACCATATCTGACTTTTTATGTAGGCTCTGGAGATTGATCTCTGGCCAACAGGTTTGAGCAGCACATGCCTTTGCCCACAGAGCCATCTCAGTGTCTCCATGTCCCCAGCGTCTCCATGTGTCCCATGACTCCCCTTTACCTGGAATTCGGGGATCTAAATCCATGCTCTCATGCTTGCATGGCAAGCACCTCACAGACTAAGCCATCTCTCCAGAAATAAGTCATTTTTAAAAGGAAAGTTTACACTAAATCCCAGGAAACAGTAACTAAAGACAGCTTAGCAAGCTAGGTTTAACTATCTCTGTGTGAAGCACGCCTGACTTCTACAGTGCTGGGGAAATAGGTAGATTAGAGGCCAGCTGTACCTTCTCTTTTCCACAGGCTTGGATTCCATGGCCAGAGAGATGATTTATAGACCACCTTTCCCTCAATGAGTTCTACCTGGAGTGGAAGGGAAACTATCCTGCTTCAAAATTTCTGTCATTGCATAAATTCCACCTCAAGGGGGTCTTGGTTTGGGGTGAAACTGCCCCCACTTGAGGTTCTGTCTAACTGGAAGCCCTCCTGGAAGGCAGGGTGAATCTGCCAACTCCTTTGGGAGCACAAAAGACAAAAGTCGGAAATACATAAACGGACACCCAAGGAATACAGAAGAAAAAAATCTTGCCTAGTCCACAAATCTTTCCAGAACAGTTCTGGAATGCTGATTCAAACGAAACACTAGCAAGCTCAGAAAACAATTTCCACGAAATGAAACAGAAGGATCACCACTCTGCATGCACACGCTGGCTAAGCTGTGCATCGGGAAACATGCTTATCCTGGACAACCAATGAACGCATGCCCCCACACACAGCCACTCTTTGTTAAACCCAACAAAAAGAATGGCACAAATTGAGTAATTTCTTGAAAAAGTGTAAGCCATTCTTAAAATTCCTGAATCCTAGAAAGCAGGCCTTGGTCCTCTTACAGACCTACACGAATGTTGACCAAAAACCTGAAAGAAGACGCATTCTGGAGCTTTGGACTGACAAGCTATTGCTAAAAACCTTTCTCTGCAAAGCTTGATTGGTTCAAATATGGCTTACCACCTGCCTGTTCGCTTATACAAACCCTTCATCTTATCTCAAGTCAGTACCAGAGGTTTTGTTTATTTTCTACTATGTGGTTGGAAACATTTTACTTTTCAAAAAGTTTAGAAGGAAATGTGCCTCTAGCTTCTGGGGACTATGTTAACCTTTACACCTCTTTTTCTTCTTTGCGCTTGATAATCCTGTATATTTTTCCAAAAGGTGTGAGTTAACAACTTTGCTTACAACTGAATGACTGCTATTGGTGTTTTTGGTTGAGGTGAAGTATGAGTCACACATTCCACAAACAGACATATCTTGAGAGCTGGTGGCCATTAGGAAACCTCGTGGACAAACAGTCTTTGTCCTAACCATATACATTAGTCTAGAAATCTGGAATCACAGACTTCTTCACACGGCCACCAACATCCTGGCCATGGAATGCACTCACCATTACAGACTGACATGATTCATGTGTTTTCACCTCTAGTTGAAAATCAGTGTCTGTTTTAAAATGGAACTCAAAATTTCTACAATCTAGCAAAAATATTTTTAGACTTGGCTGGACACCTAACCCTTAGTAAGGACACCTCTTCAAACACTGGCATACCAGGGTCCCAGGAAGAGGGAAAAAAGTGATAAGTGTGTAAATGAGTGTGAATACTTCCATCTTGGGTCAGGTTCAGGCTCTGCACGATGCCTCCTGGCTGCCTTTTCTGGACACCTTCTTCGTAACCCTGAAGAGCACCTGGGGGCAGTTACCATCTACGTTTGCTCTCACAGATTCTCTCCCTCCAATATGTAGGGCAGTCCACATAGTTCTAACAAGAAAGACAGGCTTTGATGGAAAGCCTCATCTCTGGCTCCCCCATTCTTTTTTTCCCCCTCCCATTCTCCTCCCTCCCCTGCTCCATGACAAAACTCTTTCTTTTAATTTTTTGAGATTACATATCTGCCTTCAAGAAGCACTTGCTTTTTTTGGTTCTCTAGACCAGTGGTCGGTCAGCTTAATCTGCATTTGGACACGTGCCTAAGTAGATGCTTACATATTAGAAGTTTATCACTCAGAGCAGTCAACTCTTATAAACCAAAAGATTTATTCTTTCATGCTTTAGAGTAAGGAAGTTCCATTTAGTTCCTGGGCTCAGACTATCCCATCCCTATGCATGGAATGGGGCTATTTATTATGCAACCATCCCCTTTCCATAAAAAGTAGAGACCCTAAAAGAAAAGCATGGTGAGCTATACAGAAATCGAGCTGGGAGAATATTAAAGGCACTATTTTTCAGTGGGCTCATTATGGGACCAGCACCAGAGGGGGTGATTGTCATAAGAATGTTGAGTGCAACCAGGTATAGACAAGGCCTATTGGGTACACTTTAACTGACTCAAGAGAGTGAGGAGCTGGGAGTAACAGGGCAGAAAGGGGGCTGCTCAGATGAGACATGGACATTACTAGACCCCTTTCAAAGAAAACTTTGAAGATTTTGTTGAGCTTTCTTCCTTGAACTGCCACAAATAGTAATACAATTGTAAATGAGTAGTGTTCAGTTCCACGTGTGTGTCAATTATATACTGGCTGCCAATAGCTTTGATGATGAAGAATTAGCATTAAAGAAGGATCCAAGTTAGTAGGCTACCAACAACACAGGAAAATGTGTTCTCCTTTGAGCACATAACCAATCATACAAAATGAGGCCAAAATAAAAGTTCTCAGCTGAATAATAATAAAATGAATGAATGAATGAATGAGTAAAGTCCTCCTCCTTTCTTTCTTAATCTTGAAATCTCCCACTGTGTAAACAGTGCCCAGGTCTGACAGGAGAAAAATAAGCAAGCAGTGTTTCCAGCTGCATGATACAGATTGTGTGAAGTGAAAGTTGGAGGAGAAACGGGACACTTCACACAATTCATCCTCTTTTGTCCAAACAAGCAGAGAAAGACCCAAATGTTGGAAAGTTCAGAATGGAATCAGGAGGTGAAATCAGAAAGAGTCTAATGTCTCCTGGAAGCTATGCATCAACCCTCAGCAGTTCAGGAAAAGACCTGCCTGGATTAGCTGGTCCGAATGGTATTCTTAGAGCCCTGGGGGTTCTGCAAGTGGCCTCTGATGAAGTCACATTAACAAAGGAATAAAGGCAAAGGAATAGAGTCAGGCCCACAGATGCTTCACAACCCCAAGTAGTTCAGAGTTCGTTCATCTTGGCATTGTCTTATGTTTGAGATGTAGCTGAGGCTGGCTTCTAACTTACAATCTTCCAGCCTTAGTCCCCTAAATGCTGAGATGACAGCCTGCACCACCACACCCAGCAGAGTCCATCTATTTACTCTGTAAAAGTATTCTGTTTAAAGAGCTTTATAACCAAGACAATTTCTAATTTAACATGGCCACAATGCATTAGGTCATTGTGCTTGGTATTTTTTTTTAATCTTTCCATGATATCTATGTGGTTCTCTAGAATATTGCTATTAGAATTCACCACTGACTGGTTAATACTTATCCTCAAGTCTATATACACTATGATCTCTTATTCCTAGTTACAAGGGAAGAAACAAACTTCTAAATTACAGTTCAGTAGTTGACAGGATTCAACCAGGGGAACATTTAATGTCAAAATCATGGAACTTAAATCTGCCTTCAAAGTTAAAAAATATGCTTGATTGTAAAATAAAATAATAATATTTTGGTTTTTGAGACAGGGAGTCTCTCTATAGCCCAAGTTGACCTCAGATTTCTAAATGCTGGGGTTACAAGCCACCACTACATAGAAAGAAAATAACTGGTTCTCTCATTATTATTTCAACTACCCCACAAGGATCAACGTTCCTATGTTTATCCCCTGAGAGTAAAGACTTACCCTGGGGTGCAGAAGTGAATGGCCACCAGCTCTGCCCAACAAGCAAATCTGTTGGGGACAGGAAAGCCCAAAATGTTGACAAAGCCCCCGGGGCAGTAATGGTTGCTAAGAACTTTCAAGGCAAACAGAACTCCTAGAAGAGAATAAAGAACACACTGATATCAACAATCCGAACAGGGAGAGAATCACTGGGCACAAAGAAAAGTAATTAAATATGAAAACAATTACTCAGTTATTACATCCAACTTTCTGCTTTGAAACACAGTCCGTAGGGCAATGAGCATAGCGGTCATCCCTTTGACGGATCTGACACGGAAATTCAAACTGCTTGAAGTATACAACATAGACAGTGGGAATGGGCCACCAGCAACGGTATCAAATGCCAGGGAACTGCCCACTTTAAGACAGCTAATTTTATGCTATATGAATATGAACAATGAACAGATACCAGTGATGGGTGTTCTGTACCCTCTGTGGAAAAACACTGAAAGCAGGGTGTCTGTACTTCATAATTTCACACAGAAGGCTGAGGTTGGAAAGGAAGGCTGGGTCAACAGCAGGAGAACCAGAGGGGAGGGCTCTGTCTTCTTGTTCAGGATTATTTCTCTCACCCTCTTCACATCTCATACTTAGCACACCTAACGTAAATCCTGATGGCAATTTCAGCCCCATGAAACATCTGTCAAATCAGATTTCTGGGGCAATGCACATGGTGAGAATATCCCCACTGGGTTCAAATCCCATGTCTACTTCTTACTAGCTGTAAAGCCTTGAGCTAGCTACTTCACTACAGTACTAAGATGACGCCATTCCTTCTGGGTCTGCAACACAAACGAAACAGTGATGGCGAGTGGCTATGGTGGCTCCCAAGACACAGGCGCATACCACAGTAATGGGTTGGATGCTTATATTTTAAAGAGTAATTTTTAATTTTAAATTATGTATATGAGTTTGCATCTGTGTACAGGTAAATATATATGACTTCTGGTGCCCAGAGAGGCCCAAAGAACGGAACCTCATTTTATGTTATATAACTATTAACAACAAATGAATATCAAGAATTCATAGAGGCTACATGGATTCCTGTAGCCTCTATGGGAAAACACTGAAAAGTTAAAGAGTGTATGTATTCTTGTGGAGCTGGAGGTACAGCTGACTGTGGGCATCCCTACAAGGATGCTGGAAATCAAACCTGGGGCCTCTGGAAGACCAATATATGTTCTTCACGGCTGAGCCATCTTTCCATTGTGTTTGGATATTCATGATTGGATAATTATGTCAATGAAATTACTGAGAGGCACAAGCCACATCATTTTCTAGGTGACCTTGGACTAATACAATTCTCCCCATTTGGTGCTTCTGATTCTTAATCAGAACTGTGGAAGATACAAAGTGCACCATGAGATAAAGGCAGCACTGGCTAGGCTAGCCAAGTCAAGCTTGTCCTTCGTGAATTCCTATGATCACTGACTGTACTGGGGTAAAGGAGGGCTGACTTCTAGAGGCTTCATCTGGAACTGTAACATGTACAGTCAAGACCTCATCTGCCCAGGGAAGCCATCTGAACCTTGGGGATCAGCTTAGAGTGAACCCCAGGCTTTTGTTGCCCCATGATGCCTATCTGTAAGTATTTCATTTGCTTGATGCTATCTGCCACATACAAGTGTTCTGTGCTTCACTGACTCAGAGAAGTTGGTAACCAGGGTACCCTGAGTCTCCTTCCAGGCATACTCATGTTTTCAGAACATTCTTTTGTAAAGACACCCTCGACTCCCTCCGTAGCTCTACCATGAGGAAGCCAGCTGCATGCTTCTGGTACCCCACACCACGTTCTAGCAGACCAGGGTCCTAAATGCCCAAGAATGAAGATGCAGCATAATGTGGGGCATCCCATGATACCTTCTTGTACCACAGTTGGTCTGCTCCTCAAGATGCGGGCCCCAGCAGCCATTAACCCTGAGGATTCTGTCCCCATATCAACTAGCAAAGGAAACAGCCCACCTCCCTCACACAGCCCTCAGAAAGTGTCTGCCTTACCTGAGAAGCCAACGGCACAGTTCCTTCTGAAGTGAGGCTGATTCATGAGTTCTGCAAAAGCAAACTGCAAGAGCAAATACACCACCCCTGTCAGCAGGGAGAACGTGGTGATGATGTAGGCAAACCATCGACTTCCCAGCCTTTTCTCCAGCTTCACTCCTTTCCAGAGCAAGGACACCATGTTGAAATACAAATGCCAGTCATCTCCGTGGTGCAGGGGAGAAAGCAGTAAACGCTGCCAGTCTTTCTGCTGGTAACACTTTTCCACGCTGATGCAGGAATGGTACAGGGGCTTCCAAGGATTCAGGAAGAGCCAGACATTGACAGCCAAGGTTGTGAGAGTGACAGGTGGAATGTTGTTGATCCCAATGTGGAACACTTGAGAGAGGAGCAAAAGGAGGCCGGTGTTGATCCCTCTTGTTCTCCGATCCATGGCTACTGGATACCAGGAGCACGGATAAGGAACTGTGCTAGAGGGTTAGGAACCCAGAGAGGTACACGGGGAGCTGCACCTGAAACACACAGTGCATGTTAAATTCATCACCTGAGAACAGCCCTGCTGCTCGGATCCACGCTGGAAGATGGGCACAGGTGGGCATAGCCACACACACCTTAGCCCAACAGGGATATTACTAACTTCTTTGTTCATTTCACATTCTAAAACAGAAATTTTATCCCAGATCCAAGTGGACTTAAGGACAGGCATGCTTTCCTTGAGCACAGTGGTCATTAACTTGTAATGTGTCTTTCTTAGTAAAAGAGATACAATTAAAAGGTAAGCCTTAACCCCTGTGTGAATTAATTACGATTTGAGAAAAACAAACAAACAAAACAAACAAACAAACAAAAAAAGGTAAGTCTGGCAACCTGAAGACCCAAAAAAGGTGGAGGGGCAAACCCAACTCCGCAGTTGTCGGATCTTCACAGATACACTGTGACATACATAAGCACAATACACACATTATCTACACACAATAATAATAACAATTGTAATAATAATGGGAAAAACCTGGGTGAGGGAGAAGGCTCAGTGTGGAAAGCTTGCTGTAAACATGAAAACCTGAATCCAATTATCCAAAGTATATACAGAGCTGGGTATGGTTGCCTGCATCTGTAAACCAGAGCTCCTATGATGAAACCAGACGCAGAGTCAGCAGAGTCCCAGCTAGCCTGGTGTATACCACAGGAAGAACAAAGTGAGACCCAGCCTCAACCAAAGTAGAAGGTGAGGACCGACACCGGAGGTTGCCCTCTGACCTCCACATGCATGCCATGGCACAAGTGTGCTAGCACTCACGGATGCTAAGTCACGTACACCCATCATATGCATATACACATACATATATCAAACAACCCTAAACACACATCCATATACACGTAAAAAAGAATAAAATAATAAGTGGGACTATGACAGTAAATCTACAAAGACAGCAGACAAACATTAAGTAATTTTTATCAAGTCCCTGACAAGCCTCCTTATCTAATGTTTTTAGCAGAAATATTCAAAATGCCAAAAAGTAGGTTTTAAGATTTGTGAGCATATTATGGTCTAATCCAATTTTCATACTAATAGGTGTCCACGCCCCAAATTCTTAGTCATGGCTTATAAAAACTTACGCATGTGCCAAATCCTACACTGAAAAAATGGAGTCCTTGTTCTTATGCTTACTTGTCACCAAGAAGTAAACCAAACACTGGCTCAGGATGTTGTAAGCACAGAGAAGGAACCCAAGACCATGAGAACACAACTGTGCAGAAGGTAGTGACGGGACTACTGTCTTACAGAGTTCATTTGAGTTAGTGACAAGGAAGAGTTCCATGAGTCAGTGGTCCTCCTCTCCACCCTCTCCACTGAGGCTGGCATTGTGACACGCTTGGGATGACAGAGCAGAGGGGCGGATAATACAAGAAGCCCAAACCTAGCCCCAAGATGTACTGCAGGCTTCCAGTATGGGCTAGAGTCTGGGTTAGTGTGCACAGGCACTGGTCCTCCCATGGTCCCTGGTCCCAGCCACTGACAGCTAGTCTTCAGACTCAAAGCTGTCGAAGGTGACAGAGATATAAATGGGAGTCCAGTGGGCCCTTCCTAATTTGAACCATGGAGAGGTTAATTCTGGAGTGGTTTGTTAGGCAGCAATTACTAATATAGGTGTTGATTTCAGACAGGGATTGGTTCCTGCTCACAAACAGTAGCTAGTGAGGAGGGGGTAGAACAGACAGGAACAGGCTAAGAACAGGTCCATAAAAAGGATCAAGTGTTTGAATAAAAGACCAGGAAGTGGGGGAATGGGGAGTCAGGTACAGATACTGGAAAAGTAAACAAGGGATTTGAAAGATGTTCCAGAAAGTGCTCATTTACTGACGTGTGTCTTCCTGTGGTGATTTCTCAGCCCCCAACTCCAGGTAGAAGTAACCAAACATACTAGATAATGCATGAGCTTCTTAGAAAATGATGGAATTATATTTTAATTACAAAAAAAATTAAAAATTTGAAGAAAAGTAATTTTATAGAGTGTCTACTTAGGAGTGCTCTGAGTAGCCCGTCATTTAACGCTGCTGGTCCTCAGTACCTTCAGACTGATCTGGAATATCTAGTGATATCCCAGGATTGCTATAAGTTCTAGGGCAAAGAAAATGATGGAAAAGTGCTAGTATTTTCATTTCAATATCACTTATGTTGAAATCAAACCTGCAAGAGACAATTCCCATAAAGCTCAAATATACTCTGGACTTCCAAAATGTATTTCTTCCAGTTTTTTATTCTTTTATATATTAAATAATAAATTTTAGTCATTTTTATCCCCTGTACTCCTCCTCCCATTGGCACCTTCCAAACACGTCCCCCCTCACATGCGCTTTCATATTTTCTTCTTGCAAATTTAGAGCTGGAGTGTGGGACAAAGTTACTGAGCAGAGCAGGGGCCACTTCTCTGTGGCTACACTACTGAAGAAAGTGATACCCATTCCCCCAATAAGCTTTGATTGCTGATAATCCTTTGGGGAAGGGTGTGGCCTTGTTGTTCCCTCCTGATAATCCTTTGGGAAAGGGTGTGGCCATGTTGGTCCCTCCTGATAATCCTTTGGGGAAGGGTGTGGCCTTGTTGGTCCCTCCTTCACCCATGATTAAAGGTCGATAAGTCCAATCTTGTCCAAGCCTTGTGTGGATAACCAAGGCTGTAGTGAGTTCATGAATGCAATGGTTATCACATCCAGAAGGCATCCTTTTTCTGGACATCTCTCTCCCCAGTCTCGGCTTTTACATTCTTTGCTCTCCTCTTTTCTAAGGCGTTCCATGAACACTGTGATCACTGCATTACAGTGGTTTCAGTGGCTCCCATAGGCTTATTTGATCCCAAGGTGGTGGAACTGTTTGAAAAGGACTGGGAGGCGTGGCCTTGGTGTGTCACAGAAGGCTAGCTTTGAGGCGTCAGATGAATCGTGCCATTTGCAGTATGTTCTCTGCCCAGCTTTTATGAGCTCTTATCTATTCCTCCCACAATGCCTTCATTCTGCCATCATGGACTCTAACCTATTGCAACCATAGGCCCAATTAAATGCTTTCTCGTATCATTTGCCTTGGTCACGGTGTTCTATCACAGCAACAGACACATAACTAATGCAGGGATTACAGCTGTCCATTCTCAGCCCTTTGGACAGTTACTGATTTCTCCATTAACCAGTGCCTGTTACAATAGGCAGCTTGTTTGAGGAAGGTGTGTTGGCTATTTTTATGTCAACTTGATACAAGGTATAGTCATCTGAGAGGAAAGAGCCTCAATTTAAAATATGTCTCCATGAGACCTGGCTGTACCCAAGCCACCTAATTAGTGATTGATGGCAGAGAACCCAGCTCATTGTGGGTATGCCATCCCTGCACAGGTGATCCTGGGTTCTATAAGAACACAGCTGAGCAAGTCAGGGGAAGGAAACCACTAAGCAGCAATGGTCTTTGGTGATCCCAGTAAAAGGGTCATTTAACCTAAAAGGGTTGCAACCCACAGGTTTCGAATGGATGCTTTAAGGCATTTTACTAATTAGTGATTGATAGTTAAAGTCTAGCTCTGTGTTTGGTGCCACCCCTGGAGGATTGGTGATCCTAGATTCTATAAGAAAGTAGGCTGAGCACACCACAAGAAACAAGCTAGTAAGTAGCATCTCTCCATGGTCTTTGCATCAGCTCCTGCCTCCAAGTTCCTGCCCTATTTGAGTTCCTATCCTGGCTTCCTTCAATGAAGGACTACAATGTGGAAGGGTAACCCAAATAAAGTCTTTTCTCCCCAGCTTGCTGTTGGCCATAGTTTCATCAAAGCAATAGAAATCCCAACTAAGAGAAAACAATAAGTACAGAACTTTGGGGAATGAACAAGAGTACTTGGAAAGCAGTTTGACAACATGGTTGTTTAGCAAAAGCAATAGGTGACCACCCCAGCCAAGGGCTCCTGACCAGGTTTAGAGAAAGCAGGCATGATTTTCCTCCTGCGGTGTGGACCTCAAATCTGATCAGAATCGGTTGGTGGAAAACCTTAGCAATCTTAACACCAACAGCAATGACCCCAAAGATCACATACCCATGGATGATCGAGTCCAGTCATGTGCCTAACATATCAAGTGTACTTATTGCCTTGGCCTTATCACAATTATTGTAGCTCTGTGGCAACAATAAAATTAAGACAACCAGATTTCAAACCGAAAAGCTCCCAGGTAACGTTAGAGAAATGACCATGGTTTCACACTGGGAAACTTTGAATCCTCTAGCTCCTGTAACTTTCACGAAGTTCATCTAATTATACATGCACGGGGCAAGCAGAATCCTGTGGATGACGGGTGACTTGCAGCAGCAGCAGCAGCAGCAGCCAATCAAAGCTGACGACACCACTACTTAAGAGGCAGCTCTTCTGCATTAGAATTCCCAGTGACCAAGAACACGCAGGAAACACAGAACCCCCTCAGTCTCTGCCCTGTGTTCAGGCTCAGGCTGGGTTTCAGCTCTTCTGGCCAGGCTGAGCCCCTTCCTGTGCAGCCCTTCCAATTTCACAGCTCCACCTTCTCACTGACAGTCAGCTCCTACTCCATGGATACTTAACTTTCCTGTACCTTCACCTTCATGGTCCTTCTAAGGATTAGACATGATTTTCAACCTTCCTAATGCTACAAACCTTTAATGTAGTTCATGCTATGATGACCCCCCCAAACATAAAATTAGCTCATTGCTATTTCAAAACTGTGATTTTGCTACTGTTATGAATCACAATGTAAATTAAATATCTGATATTCAGATATCTGATATGTGAACCTCAAAGGTCACAATTGACAGGTTGAGAATTGCAATCTAATCCCTTTCTCAGGGGGTTATTTTCTTCTATACTTAATGTTTCCTGTGAACTTGAGACCTCCATCCTAAAGGTTCTTTTAAATCATGATTTCCAAATTTGGTTTGTTCCGCTTTGACTTCTTAGCAAGCTCCCAGGTCATAATTTTACAGGAGGACTCCAGTGTGCCTGGTGTCTTGGTT